TTTGTTAACGATGGGTGAGAAGTTTACCGAGTTATCAGCACCATGCCATAAGAATTGTTGCATTCGACGTAAGAGAACGCACACTATTAGTGTCGTTTTTCAGTCTCGCTGGTTGTATGATAACCCGCGGGTAGCGATCCGAAGCCACACCGTTCAAGCTTTCGACGCCATCTTGGATTGCCCGACACACATGGCCTCGATCTCATAGTCGTATCTGAACTCGCCTCGGTTTGGATACCTTGGGTTTTATCGAATAAAACGAGTCACAACAAATTAGAACTGTGAGCCAAGCCACTATACGATGTTCGTCGGTTTCATTGTACAATGGATTTTGATACGCAGAGAGAACGCCCTTTACTAATTCATGATTATTGCTAGTCTTAATCATTTTAGACCATTTGCTTTTCAATTTTCTAGTTTCTCTCATCCTTCACGATGGCTGGAATGATGACACTGAGACTCGGGTTTGTTCTTTAGCCGGCGAGGCTTTCTGCAAAGAAAAAAATTACTGTCCGGGTTATAGGCCACAAGGAACGGACGGACATACTCATTATTCCTAGAGAGCGAGTTGTGGTTTTTCAAAAATATCCTCTTTTTTACTATTGAAAACAAAAAACTCAGTACTCATTGACATCATTAACATTAAAGAAATGCTAAGTTTACTAATGATGGAATTCTTGAGAGGTGAAGGGGTGCATTTCTCCAGTCAAGGCCCAACCCAGCGGATGACCTGAAATTGCACATATATATTCAAAGTCAAAATTGTTATTAGGTGACAGAAATGACTACTTTGGAACTAATTAAGGTACCAATTTCTGTTGGTTAAAATGTCAAAAACTTTAAGCACGGTTCTTTAATGTCTTCTGATGGGGAGTCTTACATCTGCGAATGTAAACCATGAGTGATGATATTAAAAACTGGCTATGATTTATCGCAACTCTACAGACTTGATTAGTTTGCAGGCCATGGTATATGACCTCATAATTATCATACTTCGAGTCCTGTAGGTATATGCAAAGTTTTTGAAAAGGTTGGCAGAGCTGAATAACATTTGTGTACGCACTGGGCTTTGGCGCGGAAAACGGACTTTGAGTTGTTTGCATGTTTGATTTTCCGTTCTGCTGCTACAAAACGTTGTTTCCCCTTGCCGCTTTTCTTTTACAGAACAACCTCCGAAAATACGGAAATACCTTCAACGACAACAAAATGCGTCGCTTTTAACTGCCAGTCCCCTTTTTTCCGCAAATTTCGCTGAATTTTAAACCTCGTACGTTTGAGCCGGCGTAATTGACCGTATACCTATGACGTAGCATTTTGTTATTCGGCTCTGCTGCAAAGGATTTCTTCCTTTTTTCACAGATTGGGAAATGTTTCTTTGAGTGTTCTTTGAAAGACATTTATTTTTGACGATCGCTTGATAGATACGAGATGGTACCAGGCGACACGCGCGTGATCTTTAAGATTCAATAGCTTTCGCTGGTTTTGTAGACCAGGCTTCTGACTCATTAGATCATGTTTAAAGAATATTCATACATGATCTTGTCTAAGGTATGGGCAAAAGTGTTCTTTAATAACTTGTCCTCTTGTAGCTATGGAACGTAGTCGGCGCACTTAAGTTATTAAAACGTTTTAAACCATGTTGGCCTACCTCTGCTCTTAATTATTAATCTCTCTATCTTGGTATCGCTTTTCTTTTCATAAACTATAATGCTGTTGATATTCAGCTTCTCGGACACCTAACATTAGCCTTGTGTTGTTCTGATACATTTTTATACCCTTTAGTCTCTTTAGTCTTTCCTTTCGATTTGAAAAATGGAATTATTATTGGTGATGAGGGTTTATACCGTCCGTAAATGCATGTTATAATTGGCATAAAGTGAGTTTTTTTATCCGCTTTATGATACTTAGCTTAACTAGACTGCTTGTGTGATTGACCCTTTAACTCCCAAGATCTGATTGTCAACTCTCCCCTCCGGCTGCTACACATTTCCTTATGAATTAGTTACAAGAACTTGGTGTTAGATCAAGGCAAAAACTTCTACCTGATACATTTGATTATTCTTATTGCCTGTTTGCTGGATAATGTATGGATATTGTAGGGAGAAGTTTCAGGTGAATCACCTCTGGGACCTAAAAGGTTAAAGTCCTTATTGTTAGCGTTCGACACGAGCGTCTCTTCGCCGACGACAACCTTGGAAAGTTTGAGGCCTTGAGTGACACGAGCCGGAGAGAGGTTTGCCAGGAGTCAGGTAGATCAGGTTTTCCAGGAGTCAGGTAGATATCTGGTAAACCTCTTCCCGACTTGTCTTAAATCTTGCCGCGGTGCGGACGGAGAAACGTGGGTCCTGCAGCGCTAATAATGAAGGCCTAAGGCGTAGGCTTGTATTATAAACGACTTTTTATCAATTCTGACCTGCATGAAGACATTGGCTATATTAGTAGTACTTCCATTTGTCCCTATAGAGGCATTGAAACAAATAAGGATACTTGTGCGAGCAAACTGCTCAGGAGCGTCCCTCTAGGAACTGTTAATAGTTTATGGAAAGGTGGTTGGGTAAGAAAATTGAAAGGGGGGGGACTGGAAATAACTAATGACTAACTTAAGAGGAACTTATAAAATGGTTATGAATCAAACAAGGTTACCTAAGTCTGCAATATTGTTGCAAATGCGATATTCCAAACTCGGAGTTCGTATAGAGAAACAACAAATTAGGGAAGGAATCATTTGTATTAATGAATAAAAACACTGCGGTTCTTGAAGTCCTACTTAAATTCATTATCTCTTTACAAAAATGAAATGAACTTTGAGTTGTTCATGAACATCGACACTATCATTATTAACACTACCACTGAAACCAACCTACAAACATAAACCCCACTGGACAACTTTAATGGAAGAAAACAATTAACGAACGCTAAAAATGTGTTTGCATATCTCAAAACTGCATTTAACAGAGTAACACAAAGAATCGTAGGCTGATTTTCACTGAGTGGACAGATTAAACAGTTGTTGTTTTTTCCGTATTATTATTTTTTTTTTGTTTTGTTTTGTTCAGGCAGCAGAATAAAGTAAACATGGTTGGCGACTACCAGTCGTCAATTCTTTTCTTTCTCCTATTTTTTACTACGGCTGCCAAATTGGTTTCTTTGGCTTATGTGGCATATTAGCTGCAGACCTTCTGTCCTTGTGCTCTTGCATGCAAAGAAATGACAAGCAGAGAAAAAGTAAAGCTTATTGAAGTAGAATTTTTTCATTAATTCAGTTAAAATATTGAACCAGTGACCATCAATGAAATCTTAACAGTAAAACTGACTTATGCGCGCAATGGATGGTGTTAGGATACAAAAGAGAACAGGTAACGCATTTTAACCTTGGTATATCTTCCTGAAAAACCATAGAATTACCTGTTAGAGAGACTTCGTTCGTTTGGCCACTGACCTCGTACAAAGTTATATGAATTAATTGGGCATTTCGCAGCATATCTATAAATTATCTTATCCGTCCGCTAGGACCATCTCAGCAAACGAATATATCACTTTTATGGTAAAATCTGCCAACCATTGAAGCCCATCTGGATCAACCTAGCCAACTATTGAGGTAAATTCCAGACAATCCCAGCCAACCAATCAGCACGGTTCCACAACAATTTTCCAAGCCACTGTGCTCCGTTCCACGTCAAGTCTGAAACCCAAGCGATTTTTCCCCAAGTCCAACGAACCATTCCAATCCAGATGCACTGAATTCCAGTCGATACTTTCCCTACTGCTAAGCATGATGCTATAACACATTTCTTCCACATCCCGTGCGATAATTTCCACCGTACCGTCGTGCACCCGGGTCACTGCAGTTCAATGTAAAATTCCGCATCCGGGATATCAATCCAGGGTTTGTAATCTTGAAAGCCCTCTAGTCGAAGCATGTCGTGTTTCTGAGGGATTTTCTTGCGCTTGAAGATCTGACAATGATGATTTAAAAAGTTATTGGCCATGTGAAGTCATGAAAAGGGGTCTAGCACTTTGGAACATCAAACTAAGAAAACTAAACGGAAATTAAAAAGAATTATTAGATGGTAAGGCGGTCCTGAGGTAAATCCGAGCGTTCTGATTGGTTCTTAGTTGGTCGGGATTTTGCATCACAGACTGTTCCCACGGAAACGTCCCTTGGCCATGTTCATCGCTGCTTAGCCAGAAATGCCAGCGTATCCTGTATTGTTACGGTAGTTATTTATTTTATTTTATCTTTATTTTTTTAACTTAGTGTTAGGGGAGAAGATATCCTATCGCTTATCATTCTGCAAGACAGAATTAACTCATTTTTTGGCCGTTCGCTAGCATGTCACGCAACGCTTCCGTCAAGAGATTTCTATCGAAGTGCGTTGTGTGACATCCGAAAGAACAATTGTGTAGAGACAACCTGTGACCCAGCTTCGTTCCTAGAATGAGCCTCTCAGGGCCAGACTCGAGAGGTGGGAGAAATCAAGAATAGTACACTCTTGAAGACAGTTTGTCCGCCTCTGTCTGGTGCGGGATAAGTTAAGCTCTTCCTGGGTGGTTTACATTCCTTGCAAAGATTGCAAAGTCCGACGGATGTTTATTTAAACGGATTCTCCCGAAAAAAAATTTAACAGAATTGCTAAGTTTGGTGTGATTAAAGAGGCTAATGCTTGTTTTTGTGTGTCAAAGAAAAAAAGGACATGCGGGACGTCCTTTAAGAGGAATTCATCCCTAGCGTGAGGGAAGGCTTTCTACTTTGCGCTTAAGAAAAGCAACCGTTGGAGTTTAGAGAGCTTCCTTAAAAGTTCTTGTTTGGGCCTAGGAGCGACAAATAGGGCGAAATTTAACAAAAGCAATTGCTAGATTTTTGTATTTACCGTTTTGTTTAGTTTTTCGTGTTCAACGATAACGAGAGCCTTTTGTTTGGTAGAAAAGAAACCTTTCCTTTCTGCCTTTGCACGTTGTGTTCACGTGGAAAAGCGTGGTTACTAAGTAGATCAAATTTCACCGGAGCACTTCCCGTCAACGCACCCACATTTGCGTCTGTGAAGTAGTATTTGCCTTCCAAACTGCGTTTTTCTTTTTCAAGACGTTGGAAGACTTGGTTGGCATTGCGAACGACCCGATCTCCCGAGAAAATTTTTCGCTTTTAACACACTTATGGGTCAAATTGCGAAGTGTTTGTACATTTCAAGAAGTTTGTATCATACAAGCCCTGTCTCAAGACCATGGCAGCAGAACTGGAGGACAGTATTTCAACGATTTTTCAGGGTAAGATCTTCTTCTGGAGATCATACTAGTTTTTGATAAGATTTTTGAACTACAGGGTACTCTTTTTTTGATTTTCCCTTTCGTCTGTTTTGTTTATTACGCTCCTAAATGGTTATGTAAGGTTTTCCAGAACGTAAATTGATTTCGTCATACGTTATATTCTGTTGCCGGTAGATTCATATTTGTGCGCATAAACCTTACTGCAGAAGATAATTCTGACACGAAAATGATAAAGTAAATCCTAAATTTGGCAAGATTTATACTGAAAGAGAGGGTGAATGAGATAAATGGTGGTTCAAACAGGGTTTTTTCAGTTCTCTTTTAACCACATGTTTCGTCACATGTTTGGCTCATTGCGTTACGCAACCTATAATTGAGTTCAGAACTCTTGAAAGTACCATATTGTAGCTTCTGTTTGCTTGATCTAAGTTGAATAATTTCATATAAAGATCTGATATTGCCGAAAGAAGAATTCCACTCGAAATCTCAGCACTATTACAGCACTTTGCCTCGTAGTTGATTACGTGCAGATGTTAGCTTAGCAACCCCCGCTATCCTTCCTTCTTACCTCTCTTCCACTTGTGTTACTTTCTTTGAGCCAAGTTTGTTTTTTTTTTTTTTCATTGTCTGTGCTCTATTTTTTTTCCATTTCTCTTGTAATCGTCATTTTGTTTGAAATTGTTTGTTGAAACACTGAGCATGAAAACAGTGTCCAGAACAGTAGTTTGAAGTTAGTGTGGCTTAGACAAAGCTGTGTGGGGAAGTCTAACTCAATACAAAAAGATTTTAGGTAAAGGAAACAAATTTACCAGCTTCCAGAGTGAGTTACTGCTAAGAAATTGACTGTGATAATGGCATACAAAAGCTGCACTTTCTTCCCACAATTTTTGCAATAAATCAGGCATGCAGCTTAACTGCAAGGACTTTCATTACAAAAAAATGCTGCAAATTTGCATAAACTAAAAGCAAACTAGAAAGGACTCCATTAAAAGATGCAAGGATAGAAATTGATCATTGGTTTTGCAAGTTTGGTGACTTCTATAAGAGCACAAGCTCATATTTCTTGCTATTGAGTAGTGTTAAACCTTTTATTAGCAGAGACTTTTTTAATCAATATTAAATGCAGCACATCTGTCAGTGTAGCTTATTTAGCTACAAAATATAACATAATTTAATCCTTACTTTCTATGTTTGCAGTCTGGAGAAAAGCCTGTCATCTTTAACTTCACAGACAAGGGACCATCAGATTGTTATTTACACAGAGGAGCTTATGGACTCTACCTAGTTGGAAGTTTTATCTCTTTTTATGGAGTATACCTGATGATAAATTGTAAGACGAAGAAAAGCTCACAGTGAATTCTTCATTGGGACTTTGATAATTTTCTACTGCAATTCTACTCATGTTTGGACACTCGATAGACATTAATTCAAGTGGACTGTCATGTTGGAAACTTCAGCTTGGAATTGTCTCATCTTGTAAAAGAATTGGTCAAGTTGACTATGAACTTGTTAAGACTATTTCAAGTCACTTGGAAAGTCATGCAGTCATTTTCCAGAACAATGTGTTTTATCATCTTGGTTTGAATGTTTGGCACATGATAATGCAGAGACTTGAACACCAACCGAAACAAAATCAGTGAAGTTACAAAAAGTACTCCACTGAGTGTTGTTTCTGGGTTGTAAAACCATTATGTGACACAACATTTATTTAAGAAATTCTATCTCTATGTGAAGAGATTGTGGGTGAAGTAAATTTAAAGTGAGCATTCTTCTTAGCCTTGTAATTCTAACTTTAGACTGACTGAACAATTTACAACTGGCTTTTGAGAGCGTTTTTTTTTAGAAAAGAGTTATTATCATGTTGGAAGAAACATTGCTCGTGTATTGTCACAGCACTCCTTTGCAATTGATTTAAACATTATGACCTTTAAATACAGGAAGCAACCTATTTTTTATATAGGTTAAATGGGAGCTAAACAATTTGTGGAAGGAGAGGTCAAGATTTATTATTTATGAGATGTAACATAGAAACAGTAATGTATATCATTGTTAAGGTGACATTTGATTGTAATATTACAAATCAAACCTTTGTGTTCGTGTGTTAGATATTATTTTCATCATTATCACTTGGTGGGGAGAAGATGGAAGTCTCTTCCTCCACCAAACAAACAGTCTTTTCCAGAACAACAAATCTTAGGGAGTGACCAAGTCAGAATTGGGTTCAGTTTTACTTAAGGAGGATGTTGCAGGTTATCAAGACTAATGACCAAAACAATTCTGTAGCAAATTCACTGGTTATGTCCTTGATTTCAAAATTACCTAAGGAGAGCCTTAGATTTCTAAAATACAACACACATGTGACAATAGTTGCTAGATTAAGTCAACTTATGAGCTGTGTACAGCACACACTTGCTTGAGCGTATAGTGCAACTTCTCCTTGAATGGAATGACAATCCATGTCAGTGTTATCATGTACTTAGTATGGTTTCCCTGATGACTTGCTGTTGTTTTTGGAAGGAAAAAGCTCTAAACAGTCTACAGTGTCTTCTACAAGTACACAATGACCTTACTAGGATTGAAACTGAACCCTCTATCCAGGAATCAAATCCTCTATTGAGTCTCTGCCACGCCACTACATTACCCCAAAAGTGAAAATATTCTACTGTTGGCACCCTGTAGAGGGGAGTTTATGAACAGTACTTAATATACCATTATTCCATTGCAAGTGAACTTTATTTTTCTTGAAGTTGGGAGATTTTTGTTTATTAATTTATGCAATGCATAATGTGAAAAAAAATAATTTACATTTTACACATGGTAATAATAACAATACATAACCAATTAAATAGTAATAGATACTTTCTCCAAATACTTTCCATTAATTTATTTATAAATTTCATAACAAGAATACCAGTTAAAAAATTAATTTAAATCATATGTCTAGGAATTAATTCATGGGTGAAATTCACTTTCCTGAAACATTTTTTTCTCCTCTGTTTTAAAAAATATGTGGCAGGATTAAGATTGTCTGTTTCAATACTTTATTAAGTTACAAAGATTCAGAGTTCGCAACATTTAACCATACAGGTTGCTCTTATGCAGCCCAATGTCTGTTGTAATGCATTTGTTTTCCACTGAGCTCACTAAGCTTCTTTCCAACACTGTAACAGCTTGTAAAGGAAAATAGAGCTGCGACCAAGTAGAGCTTATGTTATGCTAAGTAAAAGCCTGAGTGTTCTTCCACTGAAACAGCATGTTGACTGTCTGGTGAGGCAACATGACAGGTCTTGTAGAACGAAGACTGAAGGAACAGCTCATTTTTCTATGCCCACCAACTTTCTCAAAGAGAGGCATATAGGATCTCTTACATCATTTATAAAAAGTAATCAATATAATGGATAGATCTTATGCGCTGGACTTCCATCCTTTTTAATTTAATGACGGCACATGTTTTCCCTCCCACTCGAGCCACACTCCTGGCCACTTTGTTTTCAGACAAGAAACAATCTGTTGTTCTGCTATTCGACTGAAGTCTGATGGCTCAATGGAAGCTAGTCCTTCTGTATACATAACCTTTGAGGAAAAGTGTTCAATAAGTTTATCAAATGAACAATTATAATGTTGAATTACTAACAGAAGATCCCTCATCATATTGTCTCCACTACTCAAAACCACATGACCATGATTTGGAACACAGTTTTATGTTAAAGGATTTTGTTTTCATATCAAGAATTATTTTATTAGGTGTTTAGAGACTGAAATACTAGGAGGGCCCTTACTGGTCAAAGATCTATCATTAGTCGCACCAGTAAATCCACCAGGAAAACAGGTGTAATGTTGGGATAACATGAATAAACAGGTTAATTTAGTGTTATCAACTGAATTGAAAATGTAAATTGGCCAATATAAAGAGTTTGAAGGCTAACATTTTGGGGGTTAGCCCTTTGTCAGAGTGATAGGAACGAATGTGAAAAAAGTTTGTAAGTAGGTCAGGGCAAGTGATTTAAAAACTTCTCTTGTGTTCTCCCAACATCCTAAGTGGGTCATTACAGCAGTAAACCAAAAGAAAGTGCACTCTATTGCTTTTACCAATTAAACAAACTTCAATTTTCTAAGGGTTGCAAATATTACAATCATAAGCACCCCATGCTTCTGAACTAACTTATTTCAAAATGCCAGAATACAGCATTTGAAGCTACATTTTGTAGCTTGTTTGTCTTTTTTACTGTTATCACATTCAAGAAGGGTTTATACAAAGTTCAATAACCTCTACCTTTTTGGTGCCATCTTCCTCTCTTAATCCAAGTCCATTGTAATGAAAAGCTTTAAATGGCTTAACATCATCTGCTAGCATATCCTACAAGCAGATGTAACACAAACAATATTCTAAAACAATAGATTTATGAATTCAAAGTTTCACCTTAATAGCTCTGAACATTGGACTTAAATGTGGCAGAAGAGTCCAGAAGTTTTTCAATGTATATTTGAAATCCTCGAAAGGATCATGCATCATGCATCATTTACTATGCATCAAGCATCACGTAGCATGCATCACACATCAAGCAACATGGATCATGATTCCTGTGGGTTAAACATTAATTAACCATTTTAAGGCACCACATACCTCTCCAGGGAAAAACTCTGTCAGGAAATTATGTAGAAGAATGATCCCAACAGAATCTTGGTCTAAGCGTTCTTTCATGAAGGATACACTTGGAAAATAGAACCACATGATTAGTAAATAAAAAAAACAACTTGCTGTTTAAAAAGATGATAAAGTGATTTTTTTTCTTTGAACTGATTGTCAAGTTTTATCCCATATAGGGAGCGAGGATATTACTGTGAGAAAATGCTTTTTAAAAGTAATCACTGACAATGGCAAATCAGAGAAAATGAAATTAAATGAATGAGACAATGAGAAACCATAGTAAAAAACTGCGAAATAAAGAAATACTTAATATATTGCACACACACATAATTGACCAAGTCCTGAATGGTTTAAGTTCTGAATCTGATTGCTTGAGAAAGCTGCTGGACCAATCACATCACAAAGTAATGCAAAACTAATTAAAAGCAATCCACAATATTATTATGTTCAACAATCTGTTGAAAATTGCTCAAAAAATCAAATGGCAGAAGTAGCAATTATGATACAATAAGAGGTAACTTACTATTCAGGATCAGAAACAAGATCAAGATCCTCTAAGACACTTCCAAGTTGATCACTCGTAATAAAACCATTGTCTATTCAAGAGAAAGCAAATAAAAAAATTTGAGAACCTTGCAGTAATTCAATTTCAGGGATTAATACACATAAATCTTCAAATTAAAATGAGGTTTAAATAGTCTGTTGAACATATTAATACCTTGCTGGTCATGAGATTTAAAAACTCTCAAGCCTCTTTCTCTATCACTTTCTGAGCCAGTTAGACTTCGTTCCTAAAATGATAAGACAAAAAGTCTGTGGGAAAAATTCCTTAACATGCAGAACTTTGCAACATCTATGGGGTAGCATGAAAGATTAATATGTTTACCTAATGAGCAGATATTATGACTATAATACCTTATGTAAATGATCCCTAAAAGTATAGAGGATCCCCCAAAAAACATCAACAAGATTTTCCACCTCAGGAATAATTTAAAACAAGGGACACGTGGGAGTCTGCACTTCACGAAATTGACTGTGGATCAAGTGTTCTGGGTGCCAACTCTAGCAGGGACACAGTGTTTTCCTTTTCAGGCCAAAACAAGTAAAATTTACCCCCTGTAGTACCTCATATTATTGCCCAAAATCACTTGGAATTCTTGAAAATTCAACAAGTAAAAAGATTTCTCTACTGGTTTGAAAATTTAATTTACCTGCTATGCCTAACATGAGGGAGAACACTGAGGACATTGTTTCATGTTCTTTGGTAACACACTTCACTTAATTAATGCAGTAATGTGTCTCTCTCTCCTTCCATGAGTATAAATGAGTGGCAGTGAACTGTCAAAGATTGCTGACCTAATGGTGTGGTTACCCTAAGATGAAATGGCATCCTATCTACAAAGTATGGCAATAGAATACTCCTTATTGCCTTCTGCTTGTAAAGTCAGGAATCTTAATAGTAGTAAGAAACTCTGACAAACAAGTAAAGAAATGTCTATTTGAATAACTAACCTGGGAGAAGAAGACTGTAAGGTGAGTTTCACTTGCAAGAAGCCATACTGGATACATAGGAGATTTCAAAAAGTTCCCAACCTATCATATGTATTTTTAGAAAATAATAAATATAGACCACAGAAAAGGTTGTGTTATTTGGAATTTGATTTTCAGAGTTCAAATAAATGTGTTATGATCTATAAGTGCATTAATTAGTTTCTGCACTTGTATTTTCAGCACGCATGTTTATTTGAAACTATGGACATAGAAAAATATTTTGAGAAATGGCTTTAACACTTTACATTATAACATCAGTATGTATATTCTCTGTACTGTTCTCTATATATTTCCTAAGATGCTGATAAGGAGAATTTGTGTAAGGAGAAATTAGATGCTTTAAGGGGTTAAAGATGTAAATAAGAACAAAGTGGCACAGAAAATTAGCTAAACAATGCCAGATGAAAAACTTGCCTCACAGTATCGATGAGCTTCTAAAAGTGTTAAAAATCCTATTGAAGACTGTTTAGGAACACCTCTTAATTCTACAGAAATAAAGGCAGTGTTGGAACAACTTTTCCTCCATGTCATATCTATTTGCCCTTCTCATTCCAAGATCTAACTATGAACTCTTTGCACTGTCTTGTTGTTTTTTTTTTCATTTGGTGCTCAATCAACCATTATCCACTTGTTAATATTTTTCTTTTTCTTTTTTAATTTCTCATCTTTTCTCTGCCTGAAAAGGTATTGATATTGTAAGGAGAAATTTCTTCTTGTTGCCAAAAGGAGCAAAAGGGGTTTGGAACCAACTTAGTTTTAAAAAAATTTTTTGTCAGCCTCCTCCCCCCCCTCCTTGGAATTTCTAATGATGTTCCAAGGGGATAAGTTGGTTATTTCCAGAAACAAAAACTCATGGCAAAAAATAGTTAAACTCCTAAACTGTAATTCTTGAAAGAATTCTTGATTTTACAACTTACCCAGGCCTGAAAGTGTTCTTGAAGAGTCCCAGACATTTGATACGCTATATCCAGTCAGCATAAGGTTGATGAGGGTTTGACTAAAGAAAGAATTAGGAAAGTTAATTTTAAATTCTTTAACACTGAAAAATACACTGTAAGATAAACTGTCTGCTAGAAGCCTTTTGAGTTAGAGATGCATTCTGATACAAAAGTGAAAAATAAAAAAAAAATGAAACTTATTTCTATACATGTATTTTGATAATGAAAAAACTTTTAAATATATTATTTTCTGTCCAAAAATTTCAGTTCAAAACTGGATTAAGAGCAGGGAGGTTTGCAAAGCAAAATGCTGGAAAAACTGTGTTTGTAGTCTTTGTACTCTTGAATAGTTTCTACTGACAGTGTGACAAGACAGGATACAAACCTTCCATGCCCAAAACTCTCATCCACTAGTGGTTCACCCACATCTTCCATTTCAGACCTGATACTTTCTAAACCCTATGAGTAAAACAAATCTTTTTCACCCGCAACATTTAAACTTTTATATTGATTCTACTTTTCATGACTCTATATCATTCAAAACCTGACCATAACCTTATCAAAAAGAAATCCTTAAGAGATCAACCACACATAGATAAAAATAATTTAGAAGCAGATTAAGAATTGTACAGTGAAATAATGTTGTACAGAAAACTATTGTCCTCTTTCTGATACTTTGTTTTATTCTCATCACTTATCTGCATGATATTGTATTGATTTTTTAATGAAAAATTTTGTCTTGGATGAGTAAAGATATATCTAGGATTTAAGTAAGGTCAAGACAAGCTCATGTACATGTAGCTGTAAGTTAAAGTTACAATGACTATCAATACCTTTGTTAATAACACTGAATAAAGAAATAGCAGCACACCAAAGCGGCCTTCTAACATGGCTATGTTTTTTTTAATAACTTGAGTGACATCTTCTAAAGCATGACATTGAACCTGACTGTGGGAAAAAATAAACAATACAAATTAATACAAAAACGTCTCAATTACTGACCCCTCTTTCACTGCATGACCAGAGAGGATTCAACCCCAACAGTCATACGGCATTTCATGGAAATGAGATCCATTCAGGATCCCATAGACACCATTTGGGCTTAAATTAAAGTAATTATATTATTCAAACTCTTTCCTAAGAAACATACCACAGTTTTGAATGAAAATTATCACTAGATAATGAAGTAAGCTCCGAAGCACAGACTGATTTGTGGTAATCAGGGGAACTGGAATCTGGAAAAAGAAAAAAAACAGTGACAAGAACTTAACAGATAGATTCCATGTTGCCAATTGCATCTGTTCAGTAACAGATCACAGATGACATCAAAATGAGGTAAGAACAAAAAAGTAGCAAACCAGGCACAGCAGAATGTGTCACTGATATTTTCATCAGATTTTGACATCTTCTGCAATCTTCTATTGAAAAGACCCATGACAACATATATGATACATTACATAAATTCATCATAAGAAAGTAAAAATTTTCTGATTGTGACATCATCTACATGTCTTTTTTCAAATAGATCTGTTTTCATAAGTTAGAACAACTCAAAATGTGGGGATAATTCAACTTATCGTATAAATAAAATTAACAGCATATAGTTAACAACAATTCAAGAGAAAGGATTTCTGAGACTATAACTTGTGATACACAAATTCAAATGATCCCATAGTCACTACAATCCCTACAAGACTTGAAAAAGTTGTCAGTCATCATGGGCTAAAACAAAGGAGTACCTGGACTGTTGGATGATGCACACTCCTCACTTTTTGTGTCTGTTCTTTCAGCTGTCATACATGATGTAAAGACCAGATGATCCCTGAGAAACACCAGGGTAAATTTCTCAGTTTTGACATTGTTAAGCATCTCACAAAGAGAGCAAACAAGCAACTGTCTAGCTTGCTCATCTGTTGAATTTAACAGAACCATGTACCAGGTTATGCTGTTTAGCGGTAATCTTATTTGTTTGTTTTTTTTTTTAAGGGTGATACTAAATTTTTGTGCTTGACTCCTGAAAATATTCATTCTCTCCTACAATTCTAATAAAAATGTCAAGCAGAAAGCTGACAAGAATTGAGAAAATAGTCATCTACAAATACAGTTTTGAATATGGCATCAAATCACTAAAATTTTGTCAACAATGATATCACTGCTATGGTTTTGTCCCAGAGGATCAGTCTTTAACTTCTATTTCTAATCCCTAGAAGGCTAGATGTATTTTTACTTCTTAAATCCAAAGGTCCTTGGAGGTTGAAGTGTTCGAGAAAGAAAAAGCCTAAGTATAATCATGATTACTGTTTTCTTTACAAGAAACCTGCCAGTTATTTAATTTATATAACAAAGAAAACTAACCTGCGACTTGTCTCCAGTTATCAGGAGCTGGTGTTTCCTCTACAAAAAGGATATTCTTTAGAATAAAAGCCTGAAAATTGAATAAAGAAATAAGACCCCTTATTATATCAAATGGTAGAATCTGCTGTAACTTAAAGGGCTTGCTTGGTTCACAGACAAATTGCCAAGAAAGCCACCTGGAGATGAAATATTTCTTAAAAGAAGAAACAAGTGTTAAAGAGCATCTGTTTCTAGCACCTCTATGTTAATTATGAATACTTCAAATAAATGTATCAATGGAATAACTTTAATGGAACATAATTTTTTTAAAAATCCCAGCTGTTAGGAGGCAAAACAAGTCAAGCTTGTGGGTGAGACCACTTGGGAAAAGTCAGCGTAAAACCTCTTAACCTGGGTCTGGTGGATCATCAGTATTATTTTCACCTGGACAGAAGCTATGATAGCACATGGTCCTCCATGTTTCTGAATAAGAGCACTTGGTTCCACTGTTGAAAAGACAAAACCTACAAGAAATACAACACAAGTAGTGAAGACCATGTCATATCATGCATGTTCACTAATTTCACACACATCCTCATTATCTCATTTATTTCAATTTTTTAAGACAGGATAGGCTCCTTGGTGTTTTTCAGTCTTTGACCTATATGGACATAAGGGTCTTGGTGTCCATGCTTTAAACCATAATATCAGTATGCAAGTTCTCCATATATACTATTCCCTATACATTTCCTATGGTGCTTACAGAGAGAATTTTTTCAATAATCGAGGGCTTCTTGAGTTTGGAATAATTGCCTACATGTATATTTTCATGGCTTTAATATTTGGCTGAGGAGTAATATTGTTGGAAGAAATAAGTAGCTTATCACTCATAGGGGACAAAGGCTTAAGACACCCAACCAACATTCACCTTTGGATTAACCACTAAAATGAGAGGTGAATTTGCTAAAGACTGTGTAATTTTGACCGCTGATAAGTCCAAAACAATTCTGTTAGTAAAGTGGCAGCACCTGTGGGGAATCCTAGAGTTTGACTCAAATTGTGGGAACTGAACTGTGGGTTCTCACACAATTGTGCACTGCATTCAAATTGGCATAGCTTCAGTGCAGCCATATTATGAATAGAAGCGTATCATGTCGTAGGTAAGAGGCCAGATTGCAAGGCAATACCCAAATAAGTGTAGGGCATTTATGGTCAATTATTTAGCGCATTTGAAGATAATTTTCGGTAGGTTAGGTTACTCTTTGGAATCTCAAAATGTGATAGGTTTACGTAGTGAAATTTCATATATAATTCTCAGTAGCAGAGATTAAAACTGATTAATTTATCATCCTTCCCCTTGAATTTTTCAGTTATATTTTGGCGATTTCTCAAAAACAGAACTACAAAATTTTGATACAAATCTTCACTTTTGGTTTCTCCAGTCAGAAATTGTTTGAACCTGATATTATAAATTATACTACAGAAAGTATTTGAGAAGAAAACCAAAATTATCACACCTAGGAGTTTCGATCCAAAGGCTACGTCGTGCTCTAAATGCCACGGAAGGGGTAAAGTGAAAATCGAAAAGGTATCATACATTTCACTTAAGGGATCAATTACCTATACCCAACAAATCTTTGGAAACAATACCTTGAGACCACCTTTCGAATATCTCCTCTTTCACGTTTGTTCCCCAGACAAGATTTAAAACCTCGTCGAAATTTTCAGACGACATAACCCGGCAAACGTCCTCGTCGTCCGCCATATTTGAAATAACCTACAATGCAATGCGAACCGTTAAATTTATATACAGGCCAGCGGTGCTGTATTAGACCGCCATCTTGGTCCTCTTGTGAGTGTGTTCGTGTTCTTTGCAGAAATGGCTACCGGAGTTAAAGACATACAATTCAAAGACCTGGAGGTCGAAGAAGTAGAAGTAACTTCGGCCGTTTTGATGGGAGGTGCGCATCATCTTGGGCAGTACTGTGACAAGGACTTCAAGACCTTCATGGGTTGCCGATATGGCCACAAAGACCCACGTAAGTGCTTGGACGAAGGAAAGCAAGCAACGAAATGTGCCCTAGATTACTTTAAGAAGCTTAAGGAACATTGCAACGACGTCTTCACTAAACATTGGACTTGTCTTGACTACAATAACCAGGAATTTGGTTATTGCCGGGCGACGCAGAAGAAATTTGATGCCTGCGTCTTGGAAAAGCTTGGATTGGAATGTACACAACCTGTTCATCTTGAACTTTACGATTGATTTGGTTTGTTTTTAATGAACGGATATATACTCTGAAAGTTGATTAGCATGACATCCTTAGGTCTAAATTGTGATGAGCATGGAAAAAATCTGACTTGTGATGGATTTTAAAAGTGTTTCTGTAATTACCAACAAGGCGTCTTGGCAATATGTATAAAATGTACATTTAAGGATGCATCATTGTGGCTCTAAACTTTTTGCTGGAAATTTTTGGAAGTTTGGTGAAGGAATAAAGTTTTGACGGACTGTCTTTCGAAAAATTTGTTGCATCTCTGTAATTTAAAATTTTCCGGAAATTTTGTGATCAGGGATTTTATTTGTCTCAAGTGAGTAACCAAGATTGTTATTTTGGTTTAACAAAGGAATAATCCTCCAAGTATAACTTTTGCTTTTGCAAGAAAATAGTATACTCTCCAAATAATTGAATGTTCAGTGTTTCTAAAAGTGGCATGGTTTTTAATCTCAGTCAAGCAGACAAGGTACCATACTTTGAGCTTTCAACCCTTGTTTAACCCTTTCACTCTCAACATCTCATTTATTTATTAATTCTCCTTACTGTCTGCCATACAAATCCCTTGATGTTAGTTCAGAGAATTTGGTATTGGATCAACCAATATTCCCCAAATTGATATGTTTCTTTTTCTTATGGTATCATGTTGATATTGTATGGAGAAATTCTGTCTTGGTCACCCATGGGAGTTAAACATTGCCCTTAAACAATGAACACTTTTCATAAATAACAGGACCATCAACCACTTATTTCTCTGCCGACATTTAGTCATCTTCCATCACACAGTGATTTTGTAGCCATTTTTGACATTAAATGTGCAGCAATCTGCACCACTACAGAGTGGACAATCTTAGGTTCAGAAATAGTTAAGAAATGAGTAGAGCCCTTTCCATCTCAGTTGTCCACAGCCCATCTTGATCATGACAACCTTTTGCATTCATTGAATTTTCTTCTGTCAGAGAGGAGGGAAAGAGACATGGGGAGAGTTGAGGTCAGAGTGATAAGGTATTGGCATGGGTGGGATTTCAAAGGTAAAGGAAATTTGACTTTTTGTGATATTAGGGTACAAAAATTGATGAAGGGACAAGGAGACAACAGAGAGGCAAGAGTGAGATGTAGAATCTGGATTCTCCTTTACCTTGAGTTGTCACACTCACTTTCCACCATGTAAATAATTTTTATGAATATTTTTCATTCTGTTCTCTATACATTTCCTAAGGAGCTGACAAGGAGAATCTGTTGAAGGATCAATAATTTCTTTAATTGCTGATCACTTCCCTAATTCTTGTGACCTTAAAGTTGGATTCAGGGGTGATATTGTGGAGACAGTCCTAAGGGACAAAGAGTGAAAAAAGTTTGGGGACTGAGGATTTAATAAAAAAAAAAAAAACTTCACTATTTTAATGATTATATATCATTTAAAACTTCCCTCTACAATAAATACAGAATAGTTCACTTTTCCGTCATTGTTAATTTTTTTTTACCTTCACTTCACTGCAGCCTTCTGGAACTTGAATTGTATGGGGCAGCCAAGCCAACAGGAAAACCTTGGGTTAATTTACTAGCCAACATAAAAATCTTGATACCGGTAAATGATTTTGGATATTCCATAATATTGTAATCGGCCTGATAAGTTAACGGTGTCAGGACATAATATCTGAGACCGGGTCTGGCGGTTGTCGCAATTGCTTTTTCTCAGTTACCTTGAGATGATCGTCACGATAATTTTTGTTTTAAACCATCGTTTCCTTTATCCGTGTAAATTAATAAGAATTCTGCTCACGAACTCTAGATCATTGTTTCCGTTGACGTCGAAATTGATTTTCCTCTGGTTGCATATCTCCCGTGTATCCCCTCCCCCACCCTCTATGGAATTGACAAAAAGCCAATAGGACAGCCCACTGCTATTACAGCGAGACTCGCATTTCAATCATAAACAAAAGAGTATGGCCGATAAGGTTCTGTCGGTGAGTCGGAGTTTTCTCTCAAAAAAAGATAAGGACTCCGTCACAGACTCCTGCTCCGTGTACAGAAGGAGATGGTACATCTTGATCGTATTCTCTTTGATCGCTGGAGTGCAGGCAGCGGCTTGGAACACGTGGGGTCCTATAGCGGGATCCGCTGAAGATGTTTTTGGCTGGAGCGATGGAACGATCGCGCTCCTCGAGAACTGGGGGCCGATCGCTTATATTGTGTCCTTCGCACTCTTTTCATGGCTTTTGGACGTCAAAGGTGTGCGATTTTATTATTTTTCTCGTCATAAAATCATGCTTCGATGGTTGGATAAAACATGCTTTTGCACGCATCCATTCAAATGCACACCTACGGCTCGTACACGTGTGTTTGTTTCGCATGGAGTGATTTTATGAATACAGCACCAGATGCATAAAAAGCGATCAGATTGTCTTATGCCTTCTTGTGTGTCATGTATTGTTTAAACATTTTGGAGCTTATGTTGTTATTGTACTGTAATCCATTACGTCATATTCCGCCCGGATTAACAAGCAATTTGTAAAACAATAGGGAAAGGTTGATCTAATTTAATACTGCGTTGTGGTTCGACTTCGGCGGAGACATGCCGTGATATTGGCTGAGAGAGAAATTGAAAGTAGAATGTTAAATTTAGTCTACTGTAAGGCACAAGTTGGTAATTGTGTAAATGATGTGGCAAAGGTTAGCAAAAAAGCTGCTGATGACAAACATTGTGTAATGCAATCTTTTGGTTGGGGGGGAGGGGGGGTGTGTCTCTTCCCATCTGCATTTTTTGTTCAGGGGTATTGTTTAATAATGATTGAAAATTGTTGAATGATGTGATTCTGTTGTAGGTTTAAGGATCTCAGTTCTAGTAACAGTTGCACTGATGTTTGTAGGAACAGGGATTAGGTGTATCACATCAAAACCCAAACCAGCAACATGGTATGTCCAATGCTATTGTAACTGGTTAAAATATTTGCTGATCTTATCAAAGACTTGGAATTTTTTCTTTGTTATCAGATTTTTAATACCTGTAAAGCAATTCATTTTTTTCAATTTTCAATAGGCTAATACACACGGGTCAATTTTTTAATGACCTTGCTGCACCAGTTGCCATGGGTGCTCCACCCTTGGTGTCCTCTACATGGTTCCCCCCTAATCAGAGAGCAACAGCAACAGCAATCTCATCATTAATGAGTTATGTTGGAATATCAATATCATTTGGAGTAGGGCCTTTCGTTCTCAATCCCACAGAAGTTGCAGATCCTCCCCTGCCTAATGCAGATATTTACAATAACTCTCACAAGGACAGTGTTTATTTGGGAAATAATAGCACAAACAGTTAAGTTCTCTTTGTCATTTTACTTCCATTTGGTATTAATAATTATTAGTAGACATCTATCTGTTTGCGATAATGATGCACTACAGTTTTAAGACTAATGATGATGAAGAACTAAGGCTGGTAAAGCTCTCATGTATAGGATATTGCGAGGAAGTGAGGGCATTTCCTATGCAAACAAGTGAAGTTTGAAAGTTCGTTTATTGGACAAGTCATAGCATTGTAAACTGAATTTCGAAAGCTTTAATTCTGACCAAGTCTCATAGTGTACTCTATTGTAGTAAATTTATGCATAGTAATCATAGTAATCATAATAATTTGGCAGTGGTTATTCCACTAGGTGGCTCTTTCTAACCACTGTTCCCAGATCAAATTGGAATGCTAGTTTTTGTGGAGGAAGGAAAACGGGAGGACCAAGAAAAAACCCTCAGAGTAACATTGAGAACCAATAACAACCCCAACCCGCATGTGACGCCAGGTCTGGGAATCAAACCCAGGCCACAGCAGTGAGAGGCAAGCGCTCTCACCACTGCACCATCTCCACTCCTCCCAATACATTCATAATTGACCAATCAGGCAGAAGATATTTTGTTAAATGTGTTAATAATTAACATCTTTATTTAGCTATTAGACAATAATAAGTAATATAATTTTGTTGTTCACTTTCCAAACAGAGATGTCTTGGCATGAGGCTGTGTCTACTGCAAGGTGGCATATCATGCTTTATATGTACATTGGTTAGTAAACAAAGATTGTGAAATTTTGCAAAGTTTAGGTGCAACATGACTTTGTGTAGCCCTTTGGCAACCAGGACCTTTCTGAATTTGTTTATTGTCCTGAACAATGGTATAAAATCAATCTGTCTGCTGTGATATGAAGCAACTGGGGTAGGAGAATTGATTTAAGTTCTCCTGGATGATTATACCTTTTTTATCTCAGGTTTCTAATCCTTTAACTCCAAAGATCTGATTGTTAATTCTCTCTTCTAGCTGCTACACATTTCCTCATAAGCAAGTTACAAGAATTTGGTTTTAGATCAAGATAACAACTTCTACCTGATAAGTTTGAGTAATAAAATGCCTAACCATCTCTTCTGAATCCCACAGAGTTTGGATTGGTGGCCTTCTTGTTTCTGTGTGTCTTGGTGTACTTCCCAGCAAAGCCACCCAGGCCACCAAGTTTTTCTGCTGCCAAGAAAAAAGTTGACTATGTAGAAGGTGGAAAAAGACTCATGAAGTGAGTCTTAACTTTTTTTTTAAAGATATCTCAGTTTTGACATTGTTTTTTTGTTGTCACTGAGCCTCTCTAAGAATTACCAGGACCCTCTGGATGAATCTGAATGGGCCACCCTGTATAGTTTACCTTACCTTATCTTACTTTACCTGCAAACATTTATAACATGAAATCAAATTGAGTCCTCAGAGAGAGTCGGAAAAATTGTTTGAAGATTTGTAAATGTTAGGCTATGCTGACCCTATTGCTTTTGTTGTTATTTTTGTAGAAATTGCCAGTTCTGGAATTTAAACATTCTTTATGGAGCAACAACAGGTATATTTGTGAAACACAGCATTATGAACAGTCCATCATACTCATATCATTTGTGACTGAAAGAGAGTTGTATATCTCAGCAAGACCATGCAAAGGGAATTTCACAGAAGGAAACGTAGTATGGTGTCATATTTTCCTGTAAAATTCACCTCAGGAAAGAAAATTTCCTGTCCTCTATTTAAATTGTTGTTGGCTCTTTTGGTTTTGCCCACTTGACAGCAGATTAAATTAGACAAGAAGGGCTACTTGCAGAAAGTTTAAATCCATTATATTGGCTCTCAAGTGTCAAGTCCTGTTTATCAGTGAATTCAGAATGGTACAGGCACTGTAAGAAAGAGACACAAAATGCAAATGACAAGTTTCCTCTACATGCTTAAATTCATATTGATAATATTTTTCCTCAAGGTGTTTTCAGTGGATGGGGAGGAGTGTTGGCAGTGAATCTCTTGGCATTCAACTTAAAACAAGTAATTATCTTTCTTGCTACTCATTAAAGAGCTTCCTCTTTTGTAAGCTTAGCTTACTCCAGTGGCTGCCTATTCTAACTTATTTTGAGTTTCTAACTCTTGAAAAATGACTCTTACTGATCGGTGTTAGCATGTTATTTATCTGATAATTTAAGATGTGCTAAATTGCAATTTTTTTTGTGTCCTTTTCTGAGCACATCCACTGCTTATTCCATAGAGAAGACTCAATCATCAAATTAGTGAATAATATATAAATAAACTCAAGCAAGAAAGAACAATTGATATTTGATTTATTTTAAGGATACTGCTGGTTGGATCGGTTTCTATGCCAACATCACAGGTTGTGTCTTTGGATTCATCATGGCAAGGTATTAAAGGGAGGAGGGGTTGGATTATTGGTATAGGTTGCATGCGACATAGAATTACATGGCTGAGAAGGACTGAGTGGCTTAAAATTTGTTTTTATGACGGGAGGGGAGGGTTAGGCACAGGTAAAAGAGATATAGGAAAGTGATTGAGGCTAGAATACTCCTCTGTCTCTGGAAGAGTATTCTGTGATCAGGGTTTGTTTTTTCTTTTTGTGTTTTCTACCATGATGAAAGATAGGGAAAAACTAGAGTAAACGAATGCAGTCCTTCACAATCATCATCTTTAAACGTAACCCCCCCCCCCTCCCCGAAAATCTTTTTTTTTTTCTGTGTCTAAATTGATACAGGGTGAGATCCATAAGCTCTCAAAGTATTCCTTGAAATATGTTAGAAATACACTTCAAAGACTTTTGCCAGCTCGCAGTTTGGGTAAAAACTATTTGAATCATGTTCTACCTGGTCTCGGGATTTTTTTTCTTTTCTGTCTCTTTTTCGTCCTCTGTCCGAAGCAGAAATGCAAAAAATAACAACAGAAACTCTGATGCCCTTTGTATCTAGACAAGGGAGTGCTCACAGTTTATCATTAGGTAAAAGATGAAAATTATTATAACCTAAAAAATGTATCATAGGTTCAATATTTGTTATTTAGTAATGTAAAAATTTCCTTTTTCTAGGTTTGCTGATGTGTTTACCGGGCACATGAAGTTATTCCTTATCTTCCTGTTCCTGGGTTCTACTGGCTCGTTTTTGTGGTTTTCACTTCTCTGTCAAAGATTTATTCCATTTTCAAAAGGTGCGCAAAGTTGATTATTCGCGTCGTGTACAAGGATTGCACGTACTCGTGTATACTGTTAATAAAGAAACCTCGTTTTTTTCTGCTCGAAAAAACGTGGTTAATAAGATATATATTTTATCTCTGGGTTTAAATAGTAGGGCAAGAATGGTTGGGCGTGGTAGGGGCTCCAGGCATTCAGATTTGACAGTCCGTTGCTCCACCAACTAAGTGACGGTGATAAGTTGGTTTTATCGACTGAGTTGACAACGTGAATTGGCCACCGTAAAGAGTTTCCAAAGCTGACTTTTCGAGCGTTAGCCCTTTGTCAGAGCGAAAGACGAAGGCGCTGACGAAGCGCTAACGCTCAAAACGCCACCCTTATGTAAAGGACGGAGAACTCGTTGGCGAGTTAGGCCATACACTAGTTTTCTGTGCGACAAGCGACACATAAACGATGTTGTATGATGTACACTCCAACCAACTACTTCTCACAACGAAATTCTTCCTCGTTTAAATGCTGATTCATTTTCCTTCAGTGTGGCTGTACATCTCCGCAATCCTCGGCGGTTGCTTTATCAATGGTTCCATCCCGCTGTTTTATGAGCTCACGATTGAAACAACGTATCCTATTGCGGAGGGAATTCCTATGGCTGTGGTGACTACCTCTAATCATTTATTCTGCCTGCTGTTTTTGGCTGCATTGATGATTCCTGGAATAGGTGAGATGACTATTTACACTACAGTAATTTTTACATCGTATTTAGTGGCGTACAACCAAATTCATGCTGGCCAGTCGCATTATTGTCATAAAGCACCAGTACGAACTTAGAGTACGAGTTAAAAAAAACCTAACTTTCTAAACCATTATAAACGCGAATTACATAATAAAGAGGTTTAATTTTGCATCTGGTTGGTTGAGAGGATGGCGCAATAGGCCAATAACATGGCAAAGTGAAGAAATATCAATGACTTTAGAGAGGGTGGAAAAGGGTTATACGTGACGCATGATGAAGGCCATAAATTGATACGTGACGTGTGAAATTTACAGAAAGATTAGAGTGATTCGTAAATTGATGAACCAGCGTGAGGCGTGATATGCCCCCTGAAATATACGTGACCCGTGAATACGTGATCTACAAGGTGTTACATTTGCGCTTGCTTTATTAAGTGCGACCTGGCGCGCCTTTTGTATCACAAACTATTGGAAGAAAGCGTCGGTGACGTGTCTCGACGTGATACTGCGCTTGCGCAATTCAGTTAAGTTTATATTTAGATGAGTCTGTTGTACTCTGAAGACCTTCTTGGAACTGATTTTCGATATGAAGACTGAATTCTCTACCTGAATCTTCCATTTAGGAACCTTGTGGATGAATTGGTGTATGGTGGGCATTTGCGCTGGATGTATTCCTCTTTTACTTCTGTTTAAAGAAAAGTACTCTCGCCTTGAACTGGATGCAGCAAATAGGAAAGCGAAGCGTACTGGAGCAATACAAAACACAAGGCAAGACGAGGAAACTCCGCTCATATCTTCGGTAGAAATCGGTTATGGCGGAGGTGATAAAAATGGAGTCCACAACAGGAATGGTTCGACAAATTCTGAAGTTTAAATGCTGTACTTATAGTGCTATTGACAGTGGGTACAGACTTGAGAGCAATCTCTGCATCTTTAAAAATGATTACCTTTAAAATTCAAAGTGAATGAAATACCCAAAATAAGAATCTGTTCGCTTTGTATGACGTGCACTGAAATACCCAAAGTAAGAATCTGTTCGGGAAGGGGGTTCGCTTTTTATGACGCCGTGATGGGCTCCTGATGACGTGTACAAGGGTGTGTGGTGGCACAGATTGTCAATTTAAGTCACTTGCTTTTTTTATTTTTTATTTTTTCAAAAAGTGTTTACTTGGAATTTTCCTGGCCTGAATTATTAAGGATGTTTGTTTTTAGTACTGCAATCTGCAATCGGGCGCTTACTCAAGAATTCCTATTGAGCAGCCCGGCATTAGAACGTACAAATTTTGCCTTCCCTTTTTCCTGTCTATCTTGTAGTGATTTGCCACAGGTAATAAATTTTCAAGATGTAAGACTCCAAGGGTAATCAGTAATATGGCAATCATGATAAAATTAATCCGGTCAACCCTTTGACCCATAATAATAGTAACTTGCGTCTAATTTCCCCCCCCCCTCCCCCCGCTTTTAATATTATCCCCTGAATCGATGGTTAAGGTACAAGAATAAAGCAAATTATTACCAACGTAAGAAGCACTTAGTTCGTAAAGAAATTCTCCTAGTCAGCACCATTGGAAATACCTAGAGAACAGTATGGAGAATATGCATACTGATCTCAAGGTGCAAGGGATTAATCTTTCCTTGATACAATGTATCGGGGAGGTTTTACTTGACAAATGTCACGGAATATACTTTGATCCAAATCTAGTTTTAATTTTCAATTAACTGAGATGAACCTTGTAGCATCCAGTTTAACAAAATTATTATTGTCGTATTTGCTTCCTCCTTCGGAATGTATTTTGTACATGTACATGAAATGTTTACTTGCTGTTTAATCTTTCCATTTCGAGGACGCTATTATATGTAATTCTGTTGAATGTTCACCGTAGTATAAGATCAGATTCTGATAGTTGACATTTCAGCTATTTAATGTGTTAATTTAAAACCCTATTAAACGAGATGACATATTTATGAAAAATCTCCTATTAGTTTGCTGGAAACAACATTGGTTGTGTTTCAGTGCATGCTCAGAGAATAATTTTTTGTAGTAACGAAAATAGGTACAATGCGGTAGTTAAATGTAATATTAATTTGAAATCTTCCTGTCGATTTATGAGCGGTGGATTTTTTTCCTTTATCATTTACGGAGGAAAACGTATTGAAGTACAATTCAATTTATAGATCAGTATTTAAATTTTTACTTGCCTTTTAGGAGTCTTATCATAAGCATATGATATAATTTTGCTTCTACTCAAATGAGCTGCATACTCAAAATTGTACACGTCCAATGAATTACAGTTGCACTAATATTTAGAGCCAGACCTCTGAAAAGTCTAAAAATCTTCCTGCAGGCGGAGGAAAGTGCATCCTGTAGCAAATGACACGAATGAGATCGTGTCTATTCGTTTATTTCAATCAAACGAACGAACAAATTACTTTTATGCCTGATCAACGTTTATGACTAAATTCACAGCATGATTAGGGGGGAGGGGGAGGGGAACAGAGTACTATGAATTCTAGCTTGCTCCAGGCTCCCGTCTTGTTTGTGCATCGCTCGCATGCTCTTTAGCTTGCCCTCACTAATTGAAAACCTGTGCATTAGAGAATCTCATCGTGCCCTTAATTGCGATGAACTGGGTATTGATGATCATCGCATGTCTGCAAGTAAGCATTTCACTCCCGCCTTCGTACTGAAGAAGGCTCCAACCCAGCTTCCTTACTCGCCTTATCTCATTGGCTACCGCCTACCGATCGCTCTCCACCTTGCATCATGGGATCACGGGCGGGAACTCTCAACTGCTGTTCAGCAGTTACAGGATAAGTTCATGTTGTTTAGGCCCTGATGGTATTTATTTATGGCGGTATGAAAGAAAGACGGCGGGAAACTACAATATAACTTTGCCGAAGGACCATCCAGCTGTGCGTGTACCTCCTGACTACGAACATGGTTTTGCGTTCAGAACGCGACAAAGATCAAGTTATGACCACTTTGTTCTTCCTTAGCGAAATCCGCAGATCGCAGCTCAAAAACTTGCTGTTTTGAACCCTCTGAAACCTCTGCATTGAGACCTAGACACAGAGAAGTTTTGGAGCATTGTGCTCCCATGGACAAAATTCGACAAAACGCAAACCTCATAACTCAGGTGGCGAAGACCGAATCCAATGAAAGTACACGACACGAAGAAAGATCACGTCTAAAAAAATCATGTAGATATCGAATTGTCAAACGGGTAGGTAATTTAGGTGTGGCACAGTTTACCACTCCCTTCCCCTTTTGAAGAAATCCTTGCCACGCCCCTGTCACATACATACTTCATAGTCTGCAAGTTGTTGAAAAGAACACCAATACCGCGCCTTCTCGTGTAACCCGCTGACCAAATTTCAAAGTGGTGGTCGTCCGCGGTTTTTAGTGCTAGTGAGTGATACCACGGATAAGATAATCCATAAGAGGATAAGATTGAACGGAAATCTGACTTATTCCTTCTGAGAAGTAAGCCGACTTGGAGCCGGTTACCATCCTCCAAATGATGCCATAAAAAAAAGTCACGATCTTGTATGAAGCGTCTGCTTCGTAGAAAACTTTTGTCATGAAAGATGTGTCTGTCAGTTAGATCGAAAAACCGTGACGTTTTATTTAAAAAAGTTATGCTGCAACGTTTTTCGTGCGCATACTTATCTCTTTTGGCGTGCAGACGTCTCTTCATGCTAATCAGTTCCTCTGCCATTTTTTTTTTCTTTTTGTTTTATTTGTTAGCTTTTTTGTTTTGTTTCGTTTTGTTTTCTTTTTTATTTCTAGTTGAAAAAACTGCAACAACCGGAAAAAGAGAGTCCATGAAAGAGCCTTTGTCTATGTGCCGGTAAGGTGTGCACGGAAGCGTCGCTTGTGGTTTTCTTGCACTCGCGATGATGTAAAGGAGGGCGGAGCGGCGTCTGGAAAAAACGATTTTTAAATCCCACTCTCTCGCGCCTTGCCTCTCAACGCTCCAAAGAACACTCAGAGCCGCCTGCTAGACATGTTGTGGGAGGTGTCTGCTAGCTGTTTCATTACAACGATGGAAACTTGTTTCTTGATTAATTTGGAATAAATGAAATCGTAACGCGCTGAAACGGAGCCGCCTGATGTAACTTGACCAACGGCGCACACCTAAAACCACAGTTACTGAGGAAGTGATCAAAGAATCTCAAAGAAAGTCGAATAATTAATCAATGGCCACTTTAAAGTCATTAATTAAACTGACCAATCATCTGAGTTAAGACAATAATGACCGGCTTTGGAATGCGTGACGAGCTAAATTTAGGTATTACAATTAAAATAACACTCATTTCACTCAGACAAGATTACACCACAGTCCAATTCTTTGATTGGATTGTTTGAAGTCGTTATTTTCTCTAGCACAGCTTTTCATCCTCAACACAGATGAATTCTCCGAGGTATGAATGTTCTCAATGTGGCGGCTCGGCTTGCGAACTGAAATGCCTTCCGTGTTCACACACTGTGAGCACTCATTGTTTTCATATGCAAAACAGTCATGCGACTGCTGCTTCTGTTAATTGTACGTGCCCAATCGACAAACACGAGTTTCATTTGGCTGATGACGGCATTGAGAGCTTTCCTACCAGGGGTTTTTCGGTTGAGGTTTCAAACAATCGAGCGTTTAATGCCCAATCACAACCAGCTCACGTCGAGATGGATGCACTGTTGACATACACACAGGAATACAAAAACGATTTGTCAATTTCCATCCGAGACATGGAACATGCCATTCATTCGTCATTATCAGAGCAGGAGGTTCGTGTGAAGGAGGAGATCAGACGAACTGCCGAAGATCTGATCGAGGTTGTTCTGGCGAAAGAGAAAGAGTTGTACAGAGACGTGGATCGATTTATCGAAGCAGAAAAACGAGAGAAGCAGCAACAATTGGCAGACTTCTCTCTAGAGGCTCATCACATCGTGGAAGTAGTGCGACGACATCACGGCCAGTTTAAACAAGTGAGGGATAATCCTGCGCTCATGGATCAACTGCAAACGAGCCTTCAAACCGTAAATGAACGCAAGAGCGCCCTCATGGAGGAGAATCGACGTTCTTCGGTCAAGCTTTCATTTAAAATCAACGAGAAGTGTTTTGAGGAGCCGATTGGGAAAGTGGAATGTAGAAGGAGCAAAGGTCCCACAGGAAGTGATCAGCTCAATTCTCCTTTGACGATACCTGTGCGCCATCTGTCATCAAGGCGGCGGTCCTCGAGCGAGCGCAAGAGAAAAGCAGGACAAGTTATTAAAAATATCATTCCACCGAGCCCTTTAACTGAAAAATTCCGTCCGTGGGCTGTCTCCGTAAGTGAAAGTGGCCACATTGCTGTCGTAGACAGAGGAAATAACTGTATTCACATTTTTAATCCGAGAGGCGATTTCTTACGGCACGTAGCCAAACCCTACGGAAACCAAAGCAAGTTCTTAGAGGTGTATGGCGTGACATTTTTATCACGCAGTACTTTTGCAGTGGCCGAATACTCGCCGTCAACCGGAAGTGGGTGTCTCTTGGAAATGGATATTTCTGGGGAGCACTTGCGCGTGATTGGGAACCTCAAAGGGCCTGCCTATATCACTGCATTCAACACCGCTTCGCGAGAAGGGAAGAAAATCATAGCAGTTTATTACACAAACAGCTTGGAGGCACCTGAGATATTTGGCGACGAAAGCAAGCTCGAGCTACCATTGCAAGAAAATGACAATGGCTTTCTGTTTCATCCTCAAAAAGGCGTCTTTTTGAAGGACAAACTCGTGTTTTCTGACATAAATGAAAGGAAGAACCAAGGATGCGTGAAAGTCTTCGAGTCCCAGGGTCAATTTAGCCATGAGTTTGGTAAACAGCCTATTTGGAACGAGGAAGGCTTGGGCCATCCTCTTCGTATTGCCGCTGACCCTTTAAGCCGCAAAGTCCTAGTTTACCACCAGTTTTCCAGCAAGATGATGGTGTATGACGTCAATGGCGCATGCATGTCGGAGTTTCGTACTGTATCTGGACTTCTTGACTTTGTTGTTACAGCCGATGGCCACATGTTTGCCACGTGCAGCAACAACAGTGAATTTCCAAATTCTCTAATCGTTTTATCTTATAATACTTAAGAGA